TCACAGTGAGAATGAAAACTGGTTGAAAATTCATTTATTATTCAGTTGCAAGTAGTGAAAGGCAGTGAAAACATACTGGCTTAGGAATCTGGAAAAGTGAGTTCTAGTACTGTTCACGTTGCTTGCTACTTTTTAAACTATTTGTCATTTACCCTCCAAATTTTGTTTTTAACATTTATAGAACAAAGCTGATGTCTGCCTTGTCTTCAAAGAATCTTATGTTGGATGAATGGAATAACACAGACACGCACGCACACACACGCACTTTGTGAACCTTGCAGTTCTGTACAGATACAGCATTTTTATTACTGTCCAGAATCTCCAGAATATCTTTAGTGTGTTGGGAAATTATCACTGTTTAATTTGACTAATGAGTGGCGAAGTGCTTTGTGTGGAGGAAAATAGAATCTGTTGACACTAGAACTGTGACTTTCTCCAGGGAATTAGGTCTTGTCCTATGCTCCAAAAGACTAATCTACATTAGTGATGCCCTTCCACTTAGCAAAGTGAGAGTTTGATTTATTCAAGTATAGTAAAACAACTGATTTTGGCAATAACCAACATAAATCCTTTGGATTGTAAGTAAAAACTTTAATGAGCTTTAGTTAGATGTTGGAAAATTTTTCCCAAGCCCATAATAGAGTAAGTCCCCAAATTATGAACAAGTTCCAGTCCAGTAGAATTGTTTCTAAGTCAGATTTGTTTATAAGCTGGCAGAGAGTCTTTTAGACCATACACCATACAGTACACCTGTGAAAGTTTGCAATTTTAGTGATCATAAATCAGGTACTTACTGTATAAGGATTAATGAAATGTGTTTTTCCTTCCTTTAGACAATTTTAGGCCTGCCTTTGGAATTTCTTTTCTCCAAATAAAGTCAGATAGGTGTTTGCCTAACAGCTGCTACATGAAGCATACGTTAGAAAGAAGCACTGGTTTCTACAGCAGAGCCTCCAAACCATGTTTATGCCATGGACTTTCCAACAACTTGGTGGTTTCCAAACATGTTCTCAAAATAATATTTTAAATTCATAAAATGAAGTATAGTATATAGTTTTTTAAAAATTGTGAACCAGATGTACAGGCAAATACCTATAATCCTAGCATTAGGGAGGCTGAGGCAAGACGATCTCCACATGTTTGAGGCCAGCCTAAATTACACAGCAAACCTTTCTCAAGGAAAAAAAAACATTGCAAGAACCATAAAACAGTTTTAAAATAAATTTATGTGTGCTGCTGCATTAATTTAAATATCTAGTGCTATACCATTTTGAAGTCAGATAATATAATGCATAATATATATATATCAAATTATCCATAAATATGACAAAATATCTATGATTTCTGCTGATTTAAAATGTTACAAATTAGGTCTGATGAGTTAGCTCTGCGGACTAAGCACCTGCTTTGGCAAGCACAGGAACCAGACATGTGCTGGCCTTGCCTCCAGGGTCTGTTGAGCCAGCCACCAAGTCCTTGAAAACAGGAGGATCACCACAAGTCTGATCTACGAAGTGAGAGCCTGTACCAAATACATAAAAATGTTAAAAAAAAAAAAAAAAATTTACAATTGCAGTTAATCTTACTGAGGTTTGTTACACTTGAAATTAAAGAAAGTGCTATGTTTCAGGTAGACATTAGTGAAAGTGAGAAATAATTGTGTTTTGTTCGAGTTCATAGAACTCTGAATTCTGTTTAAAAAAATAACAAAAGCCTTGGAATGTCTTATAGCCTCCAGGATAAGGTAGAGTGAAGGCAAGGTGGTCTTTGGAGTACTGATCTTTTCTGCTTTTTCTGTCAGTTATGGAGTTTGCTATGATAAACTTTCCACCTTGATTATGGATGTCTTTTCCTATGGATTCACTGTTGTTGTTTTTGTTGTTTGTGGTACTGGGGATTAAACCCAGGGCCTTCATACCGAGCTACATCTGCATCCCTTTTTTATGTTTTGTTTTGAGGCAGGGTCTCAAGTGGCTACATAGCCCAAGCTGGGCTTGACTTTGTTATCATGTCCTACCTCTGCCTCCCGTATGCTGGGTTACAGATATGTGCCACCACGCCCACCCAGGTTTTTTCTTTATGAATTTTGATACTGTGTTACCTGGGTACAAATTTACCTAGTAGGTAGATCCATATTGTTTTATGTTCCACAAGAAATGCCACTTACCTTCAGGACTTACTTTTCTGATAATAGTTTAGCTTTACCAGCTCTTTTAGTTAGTATGGCATATCATTTTCCATTATCTTTTGTAGCCTGTTTGTGTTTTTACATTTAAATTGTATCTTAAGTAACAGTTACTCTTCTCTCATTGCTGAGACAAATACCCGACACCCAAAATGAAGGAAGGAAAGGTTTATTTAGCTCATAGTTACTGGAGGTTTCAGTCCATATTCATCTGGGTCCAAGGCAGAGCAGAACATAGCAGAAAGCAATTTTTCCTAGAGGGGACAAAGAGCAAGAGCACAAGGGAGAGGTAACAGCAGCTCAAGCAGCTAACTTCTCTTCCCTCCTTACATTGAAATGCAAATTGCCTGCCCCAGGGCAGGTGCATCATCCACACCCACAATAATCAATCACAAACTCCAGAAGCCTCCCCAAGACCGCAGGACCAGGACGTTTTGAGGGGACAGCTATACACAAACCATAACAAACACATAGTTGGAATTTCTAAGATTCAAATGTATCTTTAAGGCCAGCCAAATAGCTTAGTGGATTAAAGCGCCTGCAAGCAGGCACAGAGACCAGTGATTCAGATCCCCAGGCCTGCTGATCCCTGGGCCTGCCATTCTGGCCCCACCCCTGGAGCACACTGAGGTGGGATTGAGACTGGGTGTGGTTGCGCACTTGAGAGGCTGTAAACAGGCAGATCACTGAGTCTGATCTAGTAGTGAGACCCTGAACATTCCCTAAAAATACACACACACACACACACACAAATAATACATATATATACATATATTTATATATATATATATTTTAAATTGGTATAGTCTTTACCTTCTATGTAATTACAAATCGGCACTTAAATCTGCCATTTTTAATTTTTTTTAATCTGCCATTTCTTTGTTATCTATTTGTCTCACTGATTTTATGTTCCTTTTCCTTTGACTTCTTTTGGACCAAGTTTATGTTTTTGTTTGGGGTACTTTTTTTTTTTAACTTTTCTTCCTTTGTAGCTTGTTATACTTTTTTGTTGATGAGTATCCTAGAGATTACAATATACATCCTTGATTTATTTGAGCCTAATATAAATTAATAATTTTACTACTTCCTAGATAATGCCAAGACCTCAGGATGCTTTAACGTTTATTACTATGCGCCTCCAATGTTCATTCACTCACATGTATACTTTAACCTCCATAAGCAATTCTTGTTATTGTTTTATACTGTTAGTGTTGGTTAAGATATATCATGTATTTATCTAGCTTTCCATTGGTCTTTCTTTCCTGTATCTTTATGCTTCATCTCCAATTAATTTTCATCTTCTCAAAAACTGCCCTTTACTGTTTAATGTATTTCCTTTGAAACAATTTTGATACTGATGGATTTTTGTTTATTTTTTTTCTGTAAATATCTGTTTCACTTTAATTTGTGAAAAATATTTTCAATATGTTATTCAATTCTAGGATGGTTTCCTTTAGTAATTAGAAAGCTTTCTGCTTTGGCTTCCATGCTTTTATATTACGACATTAGCTATCAGAGATATAACACTTTCCCCGTTGGTTACTTCTAACCATTTCTTTGGTCTGGTTTCTAGTAGTTTTCTATAATGTGCCATAGGGATCATGAGCTTTTTCTGAGAGTCTGTCTCATTACCTTAGCTTATATTTTTCTGTCTTTCATCTGTTACTAAAAATGCTGAAATAGTCCCATGGAGAATTGATTATCCATGTGGACATAATAGCTGTGGAGACAGATGACCCCTCTTCTCTTGTTTGTTCTAACAGGTGCTGAGAGAATGGGCTTGCAGGTTATCCTCCTGAGACCAATGCTCAGACTCTCTGCTATTTGCCTCATGGACACCTTCTTTTTCAATGAAAAAAAAAAATCACTTTATTTGTTTTTGTTTTTTAATGTATTTAGTATAGGGTCTACAGGGTCTCACTACATGGATTGGATTTGTAGTGATGCTCCTGTTTTCAGCCTCCCCAGCGCAGGGATTACAGGCGTGCCACCACACCCAGTTTCAGTCACTGTCTCAGTGTGCCCTGGAGGCGGGGCCAACACCACAGCTGGGGATGGGCCAATAAATAACAAAACAGCTGTTTTGAAACAAATTAGCTGTTTCAGTAATTTAGTTATTTAACTCAACTGAAGGTCACTATAGAATCCATGGTATAGAATTGAATAATGTAGTGGAAACAGTTCCGAACTACAGGATTTGAAGTAAGTCATTTAATCTTCTGAGCCTCACAAATGGTCATGATTAAAAAAAAGAAGAAATGGTCCTGATAAGATCTGTTTTACAAAATTGGTATATTAGCAAATTGTTGATTTGTTCTATTTGAGCCACTACTTTGCCTTCCATGACTTTTTCAATGACTGATAAGAATTTTTGTCTTAAGTTACGTTGCTTTATAGCTGAGTTACATGAAACACAATTGAAAATACAGTTTAAATTTTAAAAAAACTATTTCAGTAAGAGGCACATTGCTATCCATCCCCTTCAAATTACTTCCATTGCTGTAAACGCATGTATCCGTTTTTCTTGCTACCTTGTGAAAGGAAATGGTTCTGGAAGTCCTTTTTTGTGAGTGTCTTTCATGGTGCTGTCACTGCTTCCTGGATGTCTTCAATCAGTTCAAAATGTTTCCATTTCATCTGGGTCATTTTAACTTTGGAGAAGAGCTTACACATTCACACATAAATATGAAAACTTAGATGAAATGAAAAAATTCTACCCAAATATTGTCTGGCTCCCACTGTTGTCATGAAATTTCTTTTGATTTGTTTTTTGTTTTGTTTGTTTGTTCCTCTCCTCCAGTCTCTTCTTATTCCTTCATTAAGGCTTCTGTAGATTGCAAGTGAAAGAAGTCCAGTTCAAAATAGTTAAGCTGACAGATGGTCACAGGTGGAATGCAGGGATTATGACTAAACACTTGCAACTGAACAGGGACAGTTCCTGGGACCCTGAGCAGTGGAGCTAAAGATTCAGTTCTCCTAGTTCTAGTGCCAGGGCCAAAAATCAGCCCTCATCAGGCTGTTTGTGTCGCTGAAAGCTCTAAAAGGTTGGACATTCCTGCCCTAGTGTTTTCCCCCAACTTTCACCTCTCTCCAATCCTTGCTTCTCACATTGCTGTATTGACTTCATTCCTACCACTCAAGGTCTCACTTTGTAGTGAGGCAGCTCTAGGTTTAATTTATAACAGTTTATGAGCCTAGAAAGAAAAAAGTTTTTTTTCTCAAGGGTCTACTCAGTGTATCTGAATCCTGGGAAAATATTTTGGCCCAGTTTGAAATATATGATAGGGATCACCCTTCAGTGGGAATGGAGGAGTAATGAGTTTGACAAATCTACCAAAACTATGGCAGGGGAGGGGGGAGTAGGAGGATGAGGTTCCCACAGGAAGGAAGAGAGTTGGAAGAAAGGGATAGAACACAGCCAATGTAAGCCCACATTTCTGGTAAGGCGCTTGTCTTTATCCTATATTTGGGCACTTTGAGATTGTGAATTCTTTGAAACCAAAGATTGTTAAGAGTCCGGCAGCTTGGATCCTGGAGTACTTTTGAATTCTTTATAGCATCTGTGCACAACTAGATATTCAATAAGTAATTATTTATTTCAATTCCTGTTTGGAATTCAGTACTCTTCATTGTTTTGGTTTATCTTAGTCATAGTTTTTAGGCAGATTTTATCTTTTCCATTTTTAGTTTTAGAATGAATTGTTTATTAATTGCTTCTGTTTAGTTCAAGATCCTAATGGATATAATTGCTGATAACTTGGTTGAAATATATATATATATTGCGGAACAAAATTCCTCTTTAAATGTTATTATAAGCAAATTTTTCTCCTGTACTTAAACAGATTACTTTTTAATTAAACATGCCATTCCAAATTAAAGAATTGATTTGTTGAAGATTCTATGTTCTTGAGAAATGAACTGGTATGAAAGTATTTTAATATATTTTATATTTTAACATATTTGTCAGAGTAGCTGCTTGGCTTAAATACTTGTATTTAAGATTTTTATTGTCTTTTTAAAAAAAAACTTTAAATCTTTAACTTTCTTTAGAACGTCTGATATTTAATGTGAATGTCACATTAGTAAGATGAGGGTATTTAAATCATTCAAGTATTGACATATTTGCATTTTATCCTTAGGAACTGAGAGAAAGCTACAATACACAGCAGCTAGCCCTTGAGCAGCTTCATAAGATCAAACATGACAAGTTGAAGGAAATTGAAAAAAAAAGATTAGAGCTAATACAGAAAAAGAAACTAGAAGATGAGGCTGCAAGGTAATATAACTGACAATATGTTACACTTTATTGCTATTAGGATTCTGATTTTATTGCCTGTATCTTTTGTTTAGCTATAAGAACTTAAGGCAAATAAAAAATTATTACTAGGATGCTGGTTGTATTCTAAAGTTTATAAATTCAGACCTCCTTTTCAGTCATAAATTTTATGTTTTGCTAATAAAAAATATAAACTTCGTTTTTTTAATTTGATTTGATTGGATTTTCAAGAGTATAAACAAAAACAAAAGCATAAACATAACAAAAACAGAAATAGTAACATACAAGAAAATAAATGGTATAGATTTTCAAAACAGGAATAGCAAATTAACAATGGTTGTTATATTATGTATTTTTATCATCCAAGCCAGGGAAGCGCTTATTCCACTGAGCCTTCTCCCCAGCCCCTTGAATTAGAATTCTTCATCCACCACTTACTGCCTGTGTATCCATTGTTAAGTCACTTTACCTTCCGAAACCTCAGTTTCTCCATCTGAATAAAAAAGACATTTATAGACATAATTCTAATAGGTAATAATGAACATAGAATAAATTAATACAAGGCATAGTATAATATATTGTATATAATAAGCACTCATTAGTTCTGTCTTTCCATAGTAAATCTATTACTTATCTAGAAAGATCATAAAAAACAAATATTTAGTTTTATAAAAAAAAATTATGTCAAATGCTATAATGATACAGTTCTCTGTATGTTACTAAGATGCAGTATATTG